ATATAGCAATATAAAAAAATGCAGATACTATGTTGTTTTCTTTACTGGCCTTATTTTTGCTATAAACCTACTTCATAATTTCTTTACCTTCCTATTCCCCAAAGACAAACACTAAGTTTCTTCATCATCTTTTTTTTTAAAAGATTTATTTATTTATATAAGAACCAGGGTACAGGCCAGATGTGCGGGAGGGTGAGAGAACTCACCAGAGACAGAGCGTGGAACAGAACAGGCAGACTGACAAAATACACTGCTGAGAGGAGCAGCAGGCACAACAGGAGAGGTCTGATGCGCCATGTGGGACCCTCGCCAGCTGGGATCAAACCGGCACTGCAGAGGCTGTGGAGAGCTTCACAGCATGGTGCTCAACTGCCTGTGCCACCAGGGAGGCCCTCTCTATTATCTTTTAAAAAATTCCCTATAAATATGTGCAAATATGCAAATATGTCTATATATGAATAAATACTCTCAAACACATACCCCCACACACACAATTACCAAGGTATTTTTTTATTTGACAATATACCTTGGGCATCTTCCTAATATCAGAATATAAAAGTTCACCTCATTCTTTATGAAAACCGGCAGTGCTGGATTATATACCTAAATGATTATTTTCTAAACTAGTTCCCTATGGAAGGATATGTTAAATAATAAAGGTTAATAATTCACCTTTCCATTTGCTAGTTATGAACAATGTTATACTTATGATTTTGTTATTCTGTGAAAATATCAGTAAGATAAACTCCAAGAGAGAGATTTTGCTGATTCAAAAGTTAAATGCAGTGGAAAATTTAAAACTGCAAAAACCAAAATGGTTGTACCAATTCACATGTCACACCATGTGAGAGGGACTGCTTTCCTTGGCTACAACCTTGAACCACTGGATTCCATCAATTTTTTTTTCAAATTTCTGAAAGTGTGCTAGGTTACTGATACGATCTCATTTTCCTTGTTCAAATTTCTCTTATGATTGCAATGAATCATCATTTCATATACTTTTGTTGGCCATATAAATTTCTGTTTGAGTAACAGTCTGTTTACACATTTTACCCATGTCTCTCCTGGTGGTTGACCATTTTCATATCAATGTACATAAGCTCTTTGTACATTAAAGTAATCAGATGTTTGTTAGTTGTGGGCATAAAAATATTTTTCATACTTTGCTTTTGATTTTGTTTATTGCACAGAAATTTTCCTTTTAAGAAAGACATACTCATCTTTACTTTGGGGCTTCTGAATTAAATTTCACGCTCAGAATCTTCCTGGAACTAGGAGCCTGTGGTTTTTTTCTTTCTTTTTTAATAGGACAGTTCTATTCACTTTCTGGAATCCCTGGTTGTCCACAAATCGTACTTCATTTGTAAAGATAAATGTGCTTGAACACTCTGCCACAATTTCTCTCTCCTCAGAGGACTGCCGACGCATCTACCAAGATGTAAGTTAGTATTCTCATCTCTAGCGATCATTTGATAGATTTAAATTCAAGTCAGTGATAAGTAGTCTGACTCACACAACCACTAAGAAAAACTAAAGTGTGTCTTTCATCTTTTGGGTCAACGTGCACTGAGAAACAGCAGTGTTCTCTCTCTTGCTTTACAGGGAGACACCTAGGACCCCTCACCTGACATTCTGTGTATCAAATACACCATGGAGAATGGAGCACAAGCAGGAAAATATAAGAAGCATGGTGAGGGCCTCCCTGGTGGCATAAGCAGTTAAGACACAACCTGTGAAGCTATCCGTAGCCACAGCAGCACGGGTTCGATACCCAGCCAGGGAGATACCCACACGGTGCAGCAGACCTCTCCTGACTTGCCCGCTGCTCCCCTCAGCAGTGTATTTCAGTCAATCTGCCTGTTCCGTTCCCCACTCTGTCTCTGGTGAATCCTTTCACCCCCAGACCTCTGGACTGTGCCCCAGTTCTTGTACACATAAATAAATCTTAAAAAAAAAAAAGTTGACAAAACTAAATTTAAAAAAAAAAAGCATAGTGAATGGAAAGGCATTTCACATTATCAAGACATGAGGGTTGGTTCTCCACTTAATTATATTTTCTACTTTTTTTTTTTTACACAGAAACAGGACTCTATCAGACTTTGCTAAATGCTACTTCTCACAAAAGTCTGTCAGACTTTCACTGTTTCTGAGCAAATAACAACCTGTTGACTCTATAACATAAGGGAAAATATTCTCTTAAAGACAAGCTTTTCTCTGCCCACTCCTCTCATTAAATACTAAAATCACAGTTGAAGGGAAAAGAATTCAAGTCAAGTATACACAGAGAAAGGGAAAAATAATTAAAAGAATCATTAAAGTCTTAACATTTTGTCTAATCTCAATATTAGAAACTAAAGAAATCACAATAAAAGACTAATCAACAGGCCCATAAAGTATGATGCAATTACTACAAACATACACAAAGAGCATTAAATTTAAAATTTAAATAGTAACTAACTACTGAATTATATGTAAGAATATAATTCTTACATAATATAATATGTAAGAATATCATTCACCTAGGCCCTAGAATACTATGTGGCACTATGGTTGAGAAACCTGAAGATAAAAAGACATAATTCCAGTCCCTCACCAAGGTATTTGGTCTTGTGACTTTCTGTCAACTTTTACTATAATGATGTAATGCAAATCTTCAAAATATAAATGCAAAGAGTATAAAGAGTTGTGAGCTCATCATGCAGTTTGTTAATACAGATCATTAACAGCTTCCTTGTCTCCCCAAGTACACTAGCTATCGCCTCAGAGGTAACTAGTATCACAAAATTGGTCTTTAAAATTACTATTTTCTTTTAGACTCTTACTACAGAAGTATACATACACATATCCACACCTGTGTGTGTGATCCCAAAACAAAACATCCTACGTAGCCTCTGATATGAATGGTTTAAGAAATACTGTCTTACAACAGTGCTCATTCTGTTGCCCAACATTCTCCTTGAATTGCACCCATGTAGATATGAGAACTACTAGGTCATTTGTTTTCCGTGAGCACAGCATGCTGTGGGTGACTAACCACAATTCAATGGTCCATTTTGCAACTGGTAGGTATCTATTATAGGTGGCTTCCTGTGTTCAGCTATCACAAGGCTGCCACAGACAGTTTAGAACATGCCTTCTCATATCTGTGTAAGACTTTTTCCAAAATTACACTTGGGAGTCGTATAGCGAGATTTTAGTGGTCTTACCACAATAACATAATTTTATCAACTTACCTTACACCTTTTTTACTTTACCATATTTTAAGTGTAACCACGGAGAAAATAAAATTACACTCCAAAGGGGTAAAAACCCCTCTCCCTTCTTGTCCACAAACATGTAACACATCAATTTGAGAGTTCCCTGAGTTCAAGCACTGTCTTCTGGAGAAGACTGACAGCACATTTTGAAACATGAAATCAACACCATCTGAAAGTCCATCAATGTTAAATTAGTTTTCACAAGAGCACAACAGAACTAGGGTTTAACAGCTCATTTCTTCAACTCCTTACCAGTCACAATATTAAAAACATCTTCCTATAACAATCTTCCTCAACATCCCTGTAAGTCAAAATTCCTTCTATTCTCTGTCATTTCTCTTTTTGGCCTTTATGTTCCCTATACAATCAAGCCTATACAGCCCATACTGTGGCCAAATACTGGAAATCCCCTTTTCTTACTCCATTTCCACTTTCCAAAGTCTTGTTCATCTTTCAAGATCTTGAGCAAGTAACTCCTTCAAATTCTCCCAGACTTTCCTGATTAGAATTATCTTTCTTTTCTTTGCCCCAATTTGGATAGAATGTAAAAAACAAAGCAAAACAAAACACAGAACACACAAACAAGCCTTCTTTGTGCAGTTTTGAAATATGGCTATAGTTTCCTTATAATTAGTACCTAAGGGCAAATGCCTCATCTCTAATTTTTCATCATCCCTTCGAAGGTTATTGAAGTAATAGATGAGTTATACAGGCCATGGCCAGAAAAACATCAGAGACACTCTTGTACATAAGAAACATGCTCTAGAGTGTGGGAGCAGCCTCGTTTCTAACAGGTGTTTGTGTATAAAATAAAATGTATATATAGTAGAATATACAAATATATAATATTATGTATATATAACAGATAAGTTCAATTCTAGGGAGAAAATGCTAAATAATTTTCATGGAGTTTAGGATATGCTAAGTATGGTTCCTTTGGCATACTGAAGATGTTTACCTGAGGAATTTGAGAACTGACTGGTGCAGGAGGGCCTTTTTGACTTTCCCCCTGAAGCAGGTCATAAAACCCTCATGTGAGAGATGGACTCCCTAAAGCCAGACGGAGCATCTCCAAAGATAAGGGGTGCAAATGAAGTCTGAATGAACAGGTCTTGCTGAGTTTTCTCCAGTTTCCTACACCCAATTCATCTTTGTCCTATCACATCTTTGCACAACTTTCCACACTCTATCACCTCTAGTATAAAGCCCTCAGGTTTACCAATTGCTTTGGGTCTTCATTTTTTTATGAAGGCTCCTGTGTCACTATGTGAAAGTTTATATTCAATACATTTGTATGTTTTTCTCTTCTTAATCTAGCTTTTGTTACAGTGATCCCAGTGGAGAACTTAGAGAGATAAGAAGGAAAAAAGAGAATGTTTCATCCCCGATAGTTCTTAACACTAATCCTCTTCAAGTGAACAACAGGGTCTGCATTTCCCAAAAACAATCCTAAATGGAAATGTATTTTGCATCTGCCACAAATTTTAAAATGGAGAAAAAAATAAATGAGCTTTAAAAATAATATACAGGTAATGTTCTTAATTGTAGAGGAATTCTTGATTTCAAGCACTCAAAGATAATATGGGTGTAGATTAATTTTATCAGAAAGAACAAGTTAATGATAGAACAGCAGGAAAACCAACATAGCACAATATGAAGATACGTCTAAATTTCAAACTGTCCATATTATTTAATAAACTATCAAAAAAAGAAGTTAGATAAAATTCAAGAAAGGGTGATTACCTGCATGAGCAGAAAGAGGTGAGTGTGGGCGAGGCAATGCTGGTGACTGCCCATTGCCTATCAAGCTCTTCCGGTTACTTGTTCGGCAACTGTCAGAAGGAAAGTAAAAACAGTTTGAGAACACAACATCAATAATGTTCCAATATGTGTAACCCAGCATAGACAAGTTTGGACAACCTACCTGCTCATGCAATTGCTAAAATTTTTTCAAGTTAATATGCAGTCACTAATAGTTTAGGGTGCTTGCTTGTTGAATATTAGAAAACATAATATATTCACATAGTATAACACCATCAATATTCCTCACCACCAGTGAAGCTATAATCAAATGAATTCTTTCAGCTCTTGGTTATAAATGTGTGACATGACACACATACAAGTGATAAATTAAGAATTCAAATCAGCTAACCACAGGTAGCATCTTTGTTGACATGAAATTTCTAATACAAAATTACATGCAACGAAGCGCAATGACATTAATCTTACAACGATGCACTAATTAAAAATCTAATTATTAAGACACATTTCCTATTTGTGCCTTTTGTCAACAGAACAGTTGATGCCTAAGATAAATGTATTTCACTACTCATTCATTTTTCATTTTGCATTCTGCTTTCAATTCTTCATTAAGGTAAATATTTTGGCATCAGAGAAGCAGATTCCAGTTTGTAACAAAATAATAGCAAAGGCTCCCTTTCACAGGCATGCTACCTATAGGTTTTATGGAGGTATTCAGGAGGAGAAATAATCGCTACATAAGGGCACAGGGCAACTATTTACTTTTCCTGTCTCTGCCAGTAGAAAGCTGCAAAATGGTAAATTTGACTCTACGGTAACTTTCACAAGCCTCAAAGGCTGAGACCCATACTGATGATGAAGTAGACTATCTTATTCTCATATACTTTTCTTCAGTACAGATTGGCACTTCATTCTCCATTGCCATATAGTTGTTAGAACAGGATAATAAAAACCAGCAGGTTACCTCATTGAGTTCACTTATAATAACATTCAGGGCACTGTGACTCCATCCTCCTATACAGGGGCAGCCTATAACCACTCAAAAGGACCTACTGTAATGTCTTAATTCAGAATATACCTCTTTATAGCAGGTTCTTGAAATAGGAATTTTCACCTGACTTCTAAAGTAGATAGATATATTTGAGTTTGTATAAAATATTTGAAAGGAATACTTCTAAATAATCAAATAACACATTTCAAAATCAAACCCAATTTCTTTCAGTCAAGCCTCTCTCTTAGATATTTGCTACTTATTATCATTCATCAACATTCTCATATTTATAATTTCTTAAGGTCGGGCTGCATCATTTTATTTTCCTTACTGGAACAATCAACATCCCCTAGCATTATCTGTGAGTTTAATTAAGATCATGTTTACTCAGCCTTAAATAAGTTGTTGAATAAGAACAGACCCTTGATACTTAATTATGAAGGTGGATTATGGTATTGTCAACTCATCTATCAAGAGTAGTATGCAACCTATTAAATTCATAATCATTAAATCAGCCAGTCTGATTACTTTAAAAAGATACCCTATAATGTATTTAATATTAATATGAATTAATATCTTCTTTCATCTCAGCATACAATTGTTAAATATACCAACTTGCTGATGTTAATAACGAAAATTAGAAATGACAGATTTAAACCCCAGAAACCTTAGCTAACGTATTTGTTAATTTTACCAAATTAACTGAAATATAGGTTAACTATCACAAAAAGGTTATTTGCATTATCTTTTACATTTAGTGATTGATCTAAATCATTCTGAAGATTTTTCTCAACAGTTAATTATTAATGTTTATATATGTAAACCAAATGAATAAGAAATGTGCGTTGATAAAAACAGAGCTCTAAACATTTCTTAAAGGAAGCTTAAAAAATTTAATTTTGCTAAGAAACACATAGAATGACCAACACACTATATAACAAGCAAAATAATAGCCAATAATTTAGATTTAAAATAAAGAAAAATATAAATAAAACACTCTTTCACAATATCATGATTTAAAATCTACCTACAATGGGCCTCCCCCGGTGGTGCAGAGGATGAGCGCTGGGCTGCGAGGCTGCCCGCAACCTCTGCAGCGCCAGTTCATTCCCAGGCCGCCAGGCGAGGGTCCCACAAAAAAAAAAAAATAAATAAATAAAATAAAATCTACCTAAGGTAGTACTTTAAAAATTACTGATTTGAAATACATGATTTAAAATTTTTCAAAAAAAGAAATGCCTAAAATGGAATATCCTTGCTTGGTTAATACAAGGAATCTTGCATTATACTCATCCTGTGCTTGTCCACTCTCTACAATGATTTGTAATCTTTACAACTGGATGATTATGAATGCAATTTAGAGTGAATGAACACATAGGCGACTTCACCCATGACTACATAACAAGTTAAAATTAGTTAAAAACACTGTTCAGAATTTGAAGAGTTTTCAACTTTTTTTTTATAGAGGCATGTTTTTAGTTCGTTTGTTTCGTTTATACATGCACTGGGTACAGTCAGAAGCGCGGGAGGGTGAGAGAATTCACCAGAGCCAGAGCAGGGAAGCAGCGGGCAGCAGGAGAGGTCTGCGCGCCAAAGCAGCAATCTGCGGGCAGCTTCGCAGCGCTCAACCGCTGAAGAGTTTTCATTTTAATGGTAAGTATATTGCATAAATCCTTAAATAACTGGAGGCTTTTCTTATTGACAAATGCTAGATCAAAGTTCAGTAGGTAACTGAAAGTGTCTTCTCTAACCTTTATATGGACCTTCAGCTTGAAGGTAGAAATAGTATTAAAATCTAACAAACTTGGAACTTTTTTCAATCTCAACAACCAAACAGGCAGCTATTAGAAGCAAAATGCACCTCAGTATGGCAAAATCAGACTTTATAAAATACAGGCAAAGACAAAGGAATTTTACAGGTATATACAACAAAACTTGAATGTACATTCACCAAGTAAGGTTTTGGCCTCACAAATGAATTTATTTGTTGCTAACATTCCTAAGGATAAAGGGGAATTTATACAGGATTTAAACCCCCGAAACCTGTATCTTGATCTATATCCTGGGACCTCACTCAGACAGTCTGTAGGTAACTTTCCAAAGTGGGATGCGGGTTCCATTTCTGCTCAATACTACCTGTTTCTGGTATCTTTGAGATTTACCTGATCTTACTGATGTAGGCATTTGGTTCCCCACAAATGAATTAAAATCCACATTTAATTCCACAATAACAAAGCTCCTAGTGAGTAGGACCTGAGTGTATTTCACTACCTAAACTACTTGATACCTGGCACTACCCACACTAATGACGACACTGGAACAAATTGCTGAGCTGACCTCTTTTGCCATTCATACAGGTATCACACACTTTTGTGCAAATAAAAGAAGTTTATGGCATTCAACTATGAGGCAGGGTCTATAGATGATGGTGATGACCATCACCCAAATGCACTGAACCCATGAAGTGATGAAATAGTAGACACATCTTGACTTAGACAAATTCAAGGTCCCTTCTTTTCTCACCAGTAGGACTCAGTTGATTCAGCCTCATTTTTTTCTCAAGCATTGTCACTAATGAAAAGGACAGCTGACATGGTACCAGGAGAAACAGGAACATCACTTCTACTATAGCAGAAATCCCATGTTTAAAATTAATCTTCATATAAGCATTTGAACTCATCGTGAGTTATCTCTAATTTTCAGCCTTAGGGACACAGGTACGTGATTGCAAAAATGAAACTGAAGAATAGTTATGAACTTGAGTTCCTGCTATTCAATTCCCAAATGTGTTGTTTCACTCTTTAGCAAGAAATGGAAACCATTCGCCCTGTCTGGGAGCCAGTCTAGAAGCCAAACAGGATTATCCATTTCCCACAAAGCACATCCTCTTCCTCAGTTCTCCAGGCAAAACACATGGAGAACTTTGTGGATAATGTGCTCAATTTGTTCTCTGAATTTGACACAATGGCAGAGTTAAGATTTTCTACTTGCAAAACCTGAATTTCACCTGAGAAGACAGACATATACAACCTGAGATAAAGGTGAGACAAATAATGGATTAGGACAGAGGCTGATGATGCCAACTGAACAGGTCATTTTAACCTCATTCTTTTGGTTGCTTACTGGAAATATCCACTCAAGGACAACTAATAGGTAGAGAAAGATAGCTCTTGTGCTACACACACACACACACACACCCTACCACCACCACCACCAAAACAAATACTATTGACTCTGGGGATCCTGGATGGGAGAAGAATGGAAAAGACAATGACAGTAAATTTGAGTGAGTAGGACTGGCTGTCCCCTGGAGGCTGGGAGGCTAGACAGGCAGGGACAGAACACTGAGTAAGAACCTCACAGCTGGCTGGGCACTTGGGTGGGGATGCTTAGAGTGACATGAGACTACCACAGAAAGTATTTTATTTGTCTGCCTGTTTTCTTGGCTCAGGCAGGTGATGTGAAGATTTAACAGGGACCCATACCTGCTCCCTGAGCTCACTGTTCCCACTCTCCAAAACAGGTTTACAAGGAGCTTCTCAATTGCTTGATTAGTGCCCAGAGTACCTTCCATTTGCTAGGAAAATAGAGACCAATCATGAATTTCATCATCTATGTCCAGCCTGACTCGGTGTGAGGGACAAAGAGGAATGAACTACTAAGATGAAGGAGGGGAACTGGGGTACCTCTGTTGTCTGAAACACCAATATTTCCCTTCTGCCTACATGGTCCATATGTTCAGGGCTCCATATACAGGACTTGGTGGTAAATGTCTCACATCTGGATCTGTCACATCTTTCCAGGCAGAAGAATCTGTTAATTATCCTGGAACAGGCCTGTAGAAACTGTGGGGACCATTAGGCTCTGGTCTTTTACAATTGTCTAAGTAGGTGAAATCTAGATCAGTTTTAAATTACATCATTTTGAGACATGAATACATATGATGTCTGATGGTGACAAGATAAGCTGACGAGGGGAAACCCCAACAGTGAGGTAGTTTCTTACACAGCTGACTTGAAAGGTCAACACTCAGTGTGATACACGACAGACCACCATGGAGGGAAAGTGATGAGAATATAC